CTCCCTGTGCGTGTCTGTGTGTATTAGGACGAGCGGCGACGTCTCCCGGTCGCTGCAGAATGGCCTCACGGAGCGGGCGTCCTGCGGGCCCGGGCACCTCCCCGGTCGTCGGAGCCGGCCGCCCCAGGTGAGCCCCAGCCGTGGGTTCTGCGCACCCTCCTGCTGCAGTTGAGCCTCGATCGCGGTTGGCATTTACCCACCCCGGCCGGTCGGCTGGGAGGCCTGGCTGTGACCACCATGGAGGCTGTGTTGCTTGGGGAACGCCACAGGGCGGGGCTGGCAAAGGGGGCCCAGGGGCCCGCCAGACCCTCCTGGAGGACGGCGTGGTGTGGTCCGAGGCCGTCTGCCAGGCGCTCGGGCTCTGGAGCCCGCTGTGGGGTGCAGGCCAAGGTCAGCCACTGCCTGTGCCCTGCCCGGGGCCACCAGCACGGGCTCCAGTGGCCTACAGGTGGCTGTCACCTGCACTAAGCTTGGCCGTGCCCAGGAGAGGCCGAGCCGGAACCACGCCAGCTGCTGGTGCCAGACCCGGGGCCGCTTGGTGAAAAGTCCAGGGCACGCCCAGGCTGGACACTGCTTGCGCGGCGAGTATAGGAAAGTGGGCCACCGGAGCCAAGGCAGAAAATACGCTTTTGTATGGAAACGGCACTGGGAACAGCTTGGGTGGTCCCGCACGCTGTGTGAGGACGGGGTTCGGGGTCCCCAGGGCCTGCGAACAGTGTGAACGAAGCTGGGGGTAGCGCTGGCCAGCGGCCTGTGGGGGTGGGGCTGAGGGAAGGAGCGGTGTCCTCCGCAGGCGCTGTTCTCCGGGACAGAGGTGCCCCCCGCCCAGCCCGCACCCTGAAGCCAGGCGGTGTGGCTCCTAAATGTCCCTGCTGCCCTGGGGCTGGGGCTCCGAGGGAGGGAGTCTGAGTAAGTCCCTGCACTGGGACGTAAGAGGAACTGCTTAGGGCTCCAACAGCCTCGGTGTCTCGGCCACGACCTCCACCAGTTTTCCAGCCGGAAGTTACGGGGGCTCCTCTTCCGTACACTGGGGCCCGGCCCGGGGGGCCCAGGGTAGGGTGGGGGACTCTCGCTCAGCAGAGAGGATCCCCGCAGCCGCGCTATCCCTCCCGATTCTTACTGGCCACGCACCGGTGCGGGGCCAGCCTGTCCCGCATCTCTGCCCCTCCCACCTATTCCAACATGGCTGCTTCTAACCTATGTTTTCATTATTTTTGAAATTTTCAGTTACAGTTGGCATTCATTGTTGTTTCATACTGGTTTCAGGCGTACAGCATAGCAGCTGGACTGGGGGGGTCACACAGTGACCCCCAGTGCCCGCCTGGCCCCGCAGTTCCCACCACGCTGGCTGTGCGCCCCACGCCCCCGGGACGTAGGAACTGCAGCCTCTGCTTCCTAATCCGCTCCCTTTCGCCCAGCCCCCGCCCCGGGCCGTGGGTCTGTTTGGTTTGTTCGTATTGCCCTTTGGAGTCCACATATAAGGGAAACCATGTTGGGATGTCTTTCTCTGACTTCTTTCACTGAGCATCTTACTTCCTAGGTTCATCGATGCCGCCTCCAAAGGGAAGGTTTTATTTTTATGGCTACTCTTGCATCGTAGGTACTGACCACTGCTTTTTATCCCCTCGTCTACTGATGGGCGCTTGGGTTGCTGCCGTGCCTCCTGTGACTAATGCTGCTGTGAAAGAGGGATGCAGATCTTTGTTCGAGGTAGCATTTTCATTTTTTTAAACATATACCTAGAAGTGGAATTGCTAAGTCATAACCGTTTCTGATTTTTTGAGGACCCTCCATACTGTGTCGCACAAAGTCTGCGTTCCCACTGACAGAGCAGGAGGGCTCCCTTTTCTCCGCACCCTCGTCAGCACGTGCTGTTTGTGGGTTTGATGGCGGCCATTCTGACAGGTGTGTTGTGGTATCTCATTGTGGTTTTAATTTGCTTTTCTCTGATTAGAGCATCTTCTCATGTCTCGTAGCCATCTGTATGTCCCTTTTAGAGAAGTGTGTGTATCCAGGACTTTCTCATTTTGTAATTGGGGGGGTGTGTGTGTGTGTGTTGAGGTATATGAGTTCTTTATACATTTTGGATATTAACCCCTTATCAAATGCATCATTAGTGAATATCTTCTCCCATTCACTAGGTTGTCTTTTCATTTTGATGCCTTTGCTGTGCGAAACACTTTTTAGTTTCATACAGGCCCATTATTTTTTCCTTTTGTTTACCTTGCACAAGATAAATCAGAAAAATATTGCTAAAAGACATGTCTGAGATTTTACTGCTTATATTTTGTTCTAAGAGTTTCATGCTATCAAGTTTTACATTTAAGTCTTTACTACACTGAGTTTATTCTCGTGTATGGTGTAAGAAAGTGGTCTAGTTTCATTTTTCTGAATGTCTTTGTCCAGTTCTCCCGGCAACATTAATTGAATAATGAGTGCCTTTACCCTGTTGTACATTTTTGCCTCCGTTGTCAAATTTTACTTGACCCTAAGTGTGGTTTTTACACCCGTTGTCAGGCTGTTTTGATTACTAAGGCCTTGTCATACAGAGTGCGGTATCAGGAGCGCGACCCCTCCAGCCGCCTTGTTCTCCCCCAGGATTCTCGGGGCTGTCCTCAGTCATAGGAGCCTGTTTCACCTGGGTTCCGGGCGGTCGCGAAGGCTGGTCGGCGGTCCTGCAGTTGGCGTCTGGACGTGGTTGTGGGAGGACCCGGTCCCCAGCTTACCCACGGCACGGTCTCGGCCGGAAGCAGGAACCTCTGTACAGACAGCAGGGGGAGGGCAGGCGTGGAGGCTGTGTGTGCCCACAGTGTGGGCCGTGGTGACTCGCGGGGGGGACGGGGGGGGCGGGGACAGGATGGGCCTCAGAGGCTGCTGGGAGGTTTGAAGGCAGGCAGGGAAGGGGCTCAAGGGCCCTCGGAAACGTTGCAGAGGGAAGTCGCGCCTTCCTCTCGCAATTCATAGGAAATGCTTCAGAAGACCCCTGAGAGGAGCCTAAAACCCCAGCCCAGTCTAATTCCTAAGGTAACAGGAAGCGATGATGCCCAGTTCTGGAAATCTGTCCGTTCTAAGGCGCGTCTGTGCGAGCAGCGAGTGGCTCCGTGAGCGCGGTCTGCCCGGCACAGGGCTCCCTGCCCGGGCTGCGGTCCCGGCGTAAAGTGAGGGGGTGGGACCCAGCTTTCTCACTCCGCGGGCCCCAGCCCAGGAGGCAGCGCGCGGGGTCAGGGGATGGAACGCATTGGCGGGAGCTGCCAGGCTCCAGATAAATGTTGTATGTTTGAAATGTCCTGTAACAGTGAAAAGGAAAAACAAGCTTGTATCTTTTTTGCAAAGGCCATCATTTCGGCTCAGGGCTCATGTCATCCCCAGAGCTTCCTGGCGACTGTCACAGGTTCACGGCAACCCAGTGCACAGGGTAGGACAGGGCAGGGTCGCAAACGTGTCATTAACTCCCATGTTTGGCGTGCTCACAGCGGTGGGCCCTACTTTTGCCCCGCCCTGTGGGTAAGAGTTTTCCTGCAAAAACAGTCCTTTCCTAGAAGTATCTGTTACGGTAACAATTTCTACCCTTTCCCTCTTCCCTAAGATACAGTGTAGTGACATCCTCGTACAGAGGGCTGAACGGGGGCGATGACAGAAATGGGCCACCTAGGCGGGACCGTCACTGACACCTAAGAAAGGGGGAGCAGGTAGTCTGGGTCACCAATAACTTCTCTCAAAATATTTTTAAGGGTCGTTTATTTTCAACTGTTTGTTAAAAGTCTATTCTATATCTGATAACCTATACTCATTACCATCCAAAAGTTCTTACAGATATGTTATTACAACTGTATAGTTTCAATAGTATAGTGATAATAAAACTGGAGGACTGAAGAGCACAAATTTCTTCACGAATTTATTATATAAAATGCCCCCAGAGACGTCTCGTCTCCCTGCCGTGGCGCACAAGGGGTGCGCAGAGGGCCCTGGGGGACCAGCAGCAGGAGGAGCCTGGCGGGGGCCTGGGGCCCCTGCTCTGCCTTCGCGCGACGTGGGGAGCACCGCCTCCCGTTCCCGCGCCTCCGCTCGCTTTCCCGTGGCGCTGCACCACAGCTCTGTAGCCGTTCCCAAGAGTGAACGTGATCGTGAAAGACATCCTTTTCCCTCCAGTGATTTCAAAGCTGTAGTTTTCCTGCCAATTCCAAACAGATCACCAGGCCGATCTGTCGTACTGATTAAAACCACCAAGGCACAAGCTCAGCACAGCAGCTGCAGCTTGTAGTGAAAGGATATATCGTATGTCTCTCCTTAGTTAAAAATACATAATCCTTTTATTTTATATTGCAATAAAAGAAATCAACATCATAGACACAGAAGACTAGAAAGGGGAAGCTACTTACTTCTGAATGTCCAATAATTTAAGCCTATTTGTACTTTACCACAGTACGTGAAAGTAGTAGTTAACACTTACGTTTTGGAGTAAAATTTAATCTTTGGGGACACACGGGGCAAGTAGGACTCCGAGGAGCTGTCCCGCTCGGTCCCAGCTGTGCCCACCGCACAACCCGGCCCCCCGAGGCCCAGCAGCTTTCTGCCCCGTTACGGGTGACCGGGCGGTGCGCCCGGACAGAGGGCCGATGAGACGAGAGGATGCCGACACGGAGGGAAGACTTTGGATTGTCTATTTAAATGCAGGTAATAAGTAATTAATCAAAATTTATTTTAAGTGCACTTTCACATGCTTTGTGTTTAAAAACAACAAACTTCCTAACTTTCTTGCAACAGGCTCGACTCACCATTTCTTTTGGCCAAATGCACTTTTCCCCAGTAAACTTAGAATAACGACGACGACAAGAACACAACAAGAACAAAAACAATCCCTGTCCTTCACCTACTAGGGAAGATGACTGGCTACGGAAGCAGGGCGCCGCGAGACGCACGAGGACGGACGGCACTGGCGCGGGGGCCGCCTCGGCTGTGCCGGGGCTGACGCAGAGTTCCGGGGCTGCAGGTAGCATTCCGAGTTCTCCCTTCCGTCTTTATTGATTTCAAGGTTTTGCACAGAAAACTCTTTGGGGACTAGAACAGCAGCAAATGCATCACACTGTTTTCAAGACTTCAAGTTTCAAAAGCAAATGGTTAAAAAAAAAAATACAATTCCTGATTGAGTCAGATACCGGGACGCGGGGGGGTGCGCGCTTCCTCCAAGGTTGGCGGCTGGTCTGCGCGGGCGCGCTCTTCCCTGGGGGGGCCGTTTTGTTGGTGTCTGTTTTCTCAATACTCAAAAAGGCTCAACCTCAAGCAGTAATAAACACAAGCAAAAGTGATTTAACCATTAAAATAAATATTCAGAAAAACCTCTCTGTACATACAAGTGAAAGGATAAGTAACACTTTCACACAGAAAAAATAATAATAATAAAGGGTTTGTTCATAGAAGTAGCTGAACTGTGCTGTTCCAGCCCACAGAGCCCGGCGGGAAGGGAGCGCGGTGCCGGTGGCCACGGCGTCCCCTGTCTCGCAGCCTCGGCGGGGCTCCACCTCCTCCAACTCGTCCCTCCCGTGGTACTTATTCACACTGCAAATTTCTTTTTCCGTTCCTTGCGCTTTCACTGTTTTCTTTTCCTTTACAGCATGCCAAATCCTTTGGCGTAAGTGATGGCCTTCAACAACCTCTCTTTGAGTTTTTCTTTGCTGGAATATTCCGGCAGTAAAAGGACATTAAAGCAAGTATGAGATGTCGGTAACCTAGAAAGGGGAGAACAGACCCGTCAGTGGGGGACGGGCACCCAGGAGGATGCGCATCCCCCGCACCCCCCGCCCGCCCGCAAAGCATGTCTGTCCTCTACAGCTCACTCAGCACGGAGGCAGAGGACCCCGCAGCCACCGCGTGAGGCCCTCAGAGCTTGCTGAGTGTGGCTGCCTCTCACTGAGCCTGCAGAGTGCAGGGCAGCGCCTGCCGTGGAGCTGATGTCCCCAGGAAGGTAAGGGGCTTCCTTCACAGTGGAGACGCTGTTCACACTCGGTTTTCAAGATGTTGGAGTGCTAACACCGACTGGAAATATTCCTGATAACATGCCTATGTCAATGAGGTGCTAGTGAGCGAGTGTAAATACAGTCACGCTAATGCCAGCACACCCCGAGTGCTGTAGGACACCCGCAGGAGGTTTCCGGGGCACTGCTCAGGCGGCTCAACCTGCGCCATGTGGCAAGAATACAATTGATTGTTAAGATTATGAAATTGATGATGATTTCAAAATGACCTCCTGAGCCTCGGTGTGCCCGTTCTAACCATTACACAACACGGTTTTCAATTAAATTCTAAACCCAAAATTGGCGGACTCATACCAACTGGCAGAAATCCAATGAACTGAGCCCTACAATAATGCCAGTGTTTAAAAAAACCTCGACAGCATGGCATCCTCTGAATTGCCACTCAGGCGGTTGAGAGCCCTCTGGGGACAGCCGCGCACGTGCCCGGGGCCCCGCCTCCCTGCGCCCAAGCAATTACCGTTCCGTGTCTGGGCCGTTTTTGGCTATGATCATCTTCAGTTTCCCCAGGCCGCCCACCGGCGCCCTGTCCGTGCCCGTGGTGAACTGCAAGAACAGTCTCTTCTGCTCATCGGTGAACGAGTGGACGATCTCCCAGAACTCCCTGAGGGGGAAAGACACAGCACTGACGTTAGCTTGGTGCTCGTTACGAACAGCGTGAATGGTCTGTGTGTGTGGAAACTGCATTGAGAGAGAACTGGGAAGTTAGTAGCAGGAACACGAAAGATTTGCCTGGTGATCCATGATCTAGGACTTCCACACATGCGAATTTACCGTAAGTTTTGATATGACAACAGTGTTAACAGCAGTAGAAACCGGCAAGCCTAAGTGTTGTGTCAACAAGAGCAAATAATTATGTAAACAGTGGTATATTCAAAATGTATAATCAGTGACAAAAGACAAATCTAAATCCCATGAGCTGAAATTGGTGCAAAGGAAATACTCAGAAAAATTAACTCTGGTGTCCTTGAATATGTGTATTTTCTTTAGCCCACCTTCTCTTTTGGGGAAAGGTGATGAAAATTAGGGATGGGGGCTAGTAGTTTTTCTTTTGTTCTTAATTCACACATTTTAATTTATTAATTAGCTAAATTAATTTTATCAATAAATTAATTAATAGTGCTAATTAAATCAATTAACTAATTAATTTAATTAATCAAAAATAATTAGATAATTGATTTAATTGATTAAAATTTAATTATCTAATTAATTTAATTGATTTAATAATTAACTAATTGATTTAATTAATAATGGCTATTAATGGCAATTAATTTTCACATCAATTAATAATATTAGCTTGTTTGAGTCACTAATACAGGCATGGGATTTGCACACAGGCTGGGCCACTTCCCACCAGAGCACGCGGCAACCGCCCTGCTGTCTCTGCCACAGGAAGGTGTCAGGAGGTGGAGGCCTCACCCGCTGTTTCCCCAAAGCCTTGGTGGTAAAAACACAAGCTCAGGGACAGCGAGCTTGGCATGCTTGTCTGCATATTCAGATATCTGTAAATCTCACAGCTCAAAAACTCAAAATTTTAGAGGAGGGTGGAGAAGAGTTTTAATTGATGAACGTGTGTCAAGCACTGATTTTAAAAGTTCTTTCCCGATCCCCGGCAGAGAACGGCACCTTTCCCGCATCTGTCGTCACAACCCTAGCGTGCCAGGCCACCGTTTGTTGCTAAAACGCGGCTGCCCGGCAGTGCTTTGCCAGGTGCGCAGGCTCTCTGGGTGCTGCCTGCCACAGCGCTCCCCGCCTCCCCATTCCCGCAGCTGTCACGCTCCTTGAGGAAATGGCGCAGGCAGACGCAACCACAGGGCGCTGAACATGGGCCGGGCAGGAAGGAGCGAGCGCCGCACCACACTGTCTCTCTCTGGGCGGGGCTGGCCAGCGACGGGCCGCCCTGCCGCCTAGGGGGACGGCCACTCCGGCAGAGGCAGGCCACGGGGTGCTGGGGACAGACCCCAAAGGAAGCAGCGGTCACTGACCAGTATGGCCACATTGGTAGTAAGACGTATCGGATGCTTTCTAAAAAGAAGGGAAAATGCTGGGGTTGCTGGCGGTTTATATAATGGGAACACTTACTGATTCAGAATTGTGGAGCTTACAGAAAAAAGAACTAAGACTGCGACTACTTACACACCTGAAATGAAAACAGGAGCTGCTGCTTCTCTACGTGAAAGTGATAGCGACATCAGATCACATCCCTGAAGCCCATGCACATCACAACGGAGAGAAAAATGTGATGAAAACACCCAGGGCAGGATGGAAAGCAGGAAACAGGGCAGCAAACGCCAGGCGGTGTGGGGGCTGCGGCCTGCCTGCCACAGCCCACCTGGGCCGAGCCCAGCCCGCGGCAGCACCCAATCAGCGCAGCCGAGAGGAGCCGCCCAGGCCGCAAAGGCAGTGGCAGGAAGGCGCCTCAGCTGCAGGGGAGGGAGGCAGCTGATCCCACTGAACGGGGACCAAAGTCCACGTGCTGGGCTGCAGAAGCCTGTTACAGTGCTGTGACCATGGCAACGGAAGGGGGGACCATGGAAAGCCACTCAGACTGCGCCCCACGACCCTAGGAGAGCTAATAGCAGGCCCAGAAGAATCCAACATAGAGAAACGTGAATGAGAAAATCCCAAAATCCTAAGAAAGATATTACAAAACGAGTCCAGCAAAACTTCCTGGCAGGGAAAAGTACCAAAATAATCAGTCATGAAGACACGGAAACCTGTAACCCAAACTTCCACTTGAGGGGAAACACAACACCATTAATAAGATACAAAAGGCAGATGGACAAAGGTCAACCAGAAAGGAAAGTACTAAATGCCCAAAGGAAAAGGCACGTAACTAAAGTTTCTACCAGGAACACACAGGTCAGAAACAAATGAGCAAGGAAACAAAAACTAAAGACATACATACCGGAGCAGAATAAAAATATCAGTGTTTGGCCACGTAATGTAAAAGCTTTTACTTGGCAAGTAACCCTCAAAGGAAAGTCAAAGGACAAATGGCAGCATAGGAGTATCTGCAAATCTACCAAAGTGAAGGCTGATCTCCCTGACGCGCAGTTTCTAAGAAAATGACCAATAACACAATGAAAAGACTTAACAACTACAAACAGCTGTGAATACAAGAAAAGACCCCGCCCTCCTTCACGAGGTAAACACCCAAATTTAACACTGGGTGTGGGACGTTGGAGCCAAAGACATACTTGTATTTACTGCTGGTGGGAGTGCAAAATGTCACAAATTCTGTAATGTGGCAAAATTATGCCTGTCCCTCTCTCTGATGCACCAAAATCCCACGTTTACCCCTCGGCCTCAGTGTCGTTCCTCACGAGTGCGGGGACTAATCCTTCCGTAAGAGGAGTCACTGCTTCTGATTCTTCTTACAGCAAAAGGGCGGGATCGACGCCCTGGTGGTGGGCACTGATCCCCTGTGCTGCCCCTCCCAGCGCGGCTTCTAAATGTCATTCCCCAATGATTTCTTATAAAAATGGCTTGCTTCAGACCAAAGGTTAAGATTGTTCCAGGGAAGCTAAAAAGAACCTCAGTATTTAACATAGAGTCATGTTAAAAGCATACCGAGATTAAGCAGTCTGGGTATCATTAAGAATAATGACTGCAAAACACATTAACTAGATAAAAGTCCATGAGTTCATCATAGTACTCAGAAAATAGGCAAAAAACAACTAAAAAGTTAACTTCAATTGTCACTCTTGAAATTACTACATAAACTGCGTACTCTAAAATATTTGAACATCATGCTTTGATTTTCAATAGAACTTTTTCAAAGTAATCAACTGGCACCCACTGATGAGGAAAAAGAATGGCAGGACAGATCGGAAGAAAACTCCCACATCGCCATTCCCTGCCCAGGGAACTCACTCATTCCGGTAAGGGCGTTTCTAGGCCCCACATCAGGGCAGGTGCAGGGAAGACAACCACAGCGGTGCCAGCGTCCCTGCTTCCGCTTTCCTCCTCAGTCCTCCCCTCTGGCCCAGGAAAAAGAGCTACTCAGTTGAGAAGATGGGAGACTCACAGGTAACACCTATGACAAAACTAAGCGACATGCTGCCCACAGAATCCTCGCAGGCAGCCCCGCCTCAGCAGCTGTGCGAGCAGGAGGGAAGGCCCTGGCATCTGACAGCCGAGGGGACAGGAGCTCAAAGCTGCCAAGCGGCGGTAAAGTCCCAGCAACGTGGCGGACGCTCTGCACGATAAGCCTGTGGTGACTGCAAGGGGGTCAACATGCAGGAAGCTCCGGGCCCTTAAAACCCGTGAACGCCAAAACCCGTCCAAAACAAGCCCTGCACTTGGAGGACCTGCTGAGGTAGCATCCAAACAGACCAGGGTTAAGGGTAAAAGAAAAAATATATATATACACACACACACACACACGATGGGAGTAGAGGTGGTATTTTTTTGATTTTGCAAAACTAAATGCACAGACGCTCCTGAGCATGAGATGCAGCCCTGGCCTGTCTCCCTCTTACAAGAATGGAAAATTTATTTCACTTTTAAAAAATGAGCCAGAGGGTTGCGGTCAAATCCAAAATCAGGTTATGAGCGGAGAGCGCAAGGGTATGTGCATGTACACGAGGACGCCGTCCCTTTAAGAATGAAAATACCAAAAGGACCCTGAGTGTCCGAGTCTAACACCCAGAATGCCCAGGAAACGGTCCAAAACCACTCGTCACACCAAGAACCAGAAAAAATCACAGAAAAGGAAAGAAAACCGAGTGGCACCGACAGTGGGGTTCACAGGACTGGCGTTACCAAACGAGGGTTTTAAGGAAGTCACCTTAAAAATGACTCTACGAGCGATTACACGTTTGTTTTACAAAATAAACAGAAATCTCCACCAAATACACAAAGTGACAAGGAGCCCAGTGGAAATTGGAGACCTGAAAGACAGAGCAGGGAAAAACACGGGTTAAGTCAATAGAGTGAAGATGAAAGAGGATAAAAACCCGAACGAGAGAAAACAGACTAAGGCGCACATGGAACGACGGCAAACGCCTGCACACTGGTGTCGTCGGAGGCCTGGAAAGGGAGCGGGGGCTGCCACATTTTTGAAGAAATAATGGCTGAAAATTCGTTTTTTGCAAAAGACAAACCCACACACTCAAGAAACTAACGAAACCCCAAAGAGCATAAATGAAACTCTTTGGGAATGAAGGGGAAATAGTCATCCTCAGAGAAAGGAAAATGGAAAAGAAATTGTCACTAGCAGACCTGCCTTTGACGGCTGACAGTTTAAACCGAAGGAGCGAAGAATGGAAAGAGAGATACCGGCACATAAGAGTCAGTTATCCTCTTTACGGCTTTCGTAAATGTCCCTGATGACTAACACAAGTTACAGCAGCGTTAATACTCAAGACAATAATACTTAAAAGTGGGAAAGGAAGAGAACTAAATGGAAGCAAGATTGCCACACTTCCCGGGATGAGATGTTGGCGTCAGTACCTCACGTGCACCGCGCGACGATACCACCGCCTGCAGGGAGACCGTCCTAAACACACACACAGCAGCACTAACCATAAATCAGGAAGGCGTCCTAAAGTGTGTTCAAGAAGCTCAATAACACACGAAAGACCAAAGAATAGAACAAAG